TGTGATGTAGAGGTGAGTGTGGGGGGCTAGGGATGGCCCTGATTGCGTTACACGATGATGGCCCGATTATGATAATGGGCATGGTTGCTTGGGGGGCGGCTAGAATGCCGCTAGAATTGGTGGAAGTGGGGATTTCCCACAAGGAGGACCCCGAGAAGCACTTCAGATCTTTTTTTTCTTTTTTTTTTTTTTTTTTTACCAGGTCATTTCTTTCTTTATTTCTTTTTTCCCCTTACCCTACCGGGTCCAGTACTAGTATCATGTCTCTGCACTTGGTTTCTCCCACACACCACCCTTCGGACCGCGGTACCCGTTACAAAAGAGACGAAACAGGACAGGTCCCCATGAAAAATAAATATAAAAAAAAAAGGAACACTCTCACGAACCCGGAAACAAAATGGAAAGGGTGATGAGCGGGGCGGCGGTGGCTGAGGTCAGTTACAAATACCGGTATGATGGTGGAAGGGAAGAAAAGAAAAGAAGTGTCAAGCCACAGTTGCGAAATTTATCCATCAGCCCTCCGCCAACGCCGGGTCGGAGGGGTACACCTGTCTCTTTTGGGATGCTTGTCCAGTTATCCTCCTCCTTAATTCCGAGATCCGGTCTCATTGCCGATATTTCTTTCGACGCGGTATGACGCCGTGTGTCATGGGAATGGGTAAAAAATGAGAAAAATGAAAAAAATGTGGAAGGCACTCCGTGGAATGAAAAAGAAAAAAAGTATAAAATATATATATATATATAAATATGGCGGTTGTCAAGACAGAATGGATTAAAATATCCACAAGGACGCAAATGAGGGGAGGGGGAGGGGATTTAGCTACAAAGTATATACAGGCATCGCACGGGGCGCAATTGATGTATGTGCGTTGTTGTGTGGTGATGGTGATGGTGATGGTGATGGTGATGGTGATGGTGGACCCGCCGTGGGAAGTGCGGAATTGTAAATTTAACGAGGGCATTTGTTGGGTTGTGCGGTATCGGCTGGGCGAGGAAAGTCAAGCGCTCCTTGTGTGTGTGTGTGACCCTGGAAGCGGATCGTCTAATGAATGAATGAATGAATGAATGCATTGATGAATGAAAATGAAAAGGGAAAAAAACAGGAGATAAAGAAAGAAGGTTCATCAGTGTGCGCTATCATCTTGACCGGGGGGAGGAGAGGCGGAGTGATGGATGCAATAGGCGTCGAGATCCGAATCTCCACATCTCCAATCTCTGCTCCGTACGGGACGGTATCAATGGGGGTCACTCCATATCATTACCGTGCTCGTATTCCCTCGCATCCTATCCCTCCGAAACTCCCCCACCCAGTGTGATATACTCGAGTATACTCAATTGGGTTCACGGACATGCCATCGATTCCCGAAGATTATCCAATCCCTACGTACCATCGACACCCGTCGTCGCCGCCCTCCTCTTGCCCCTTCTGATATTATGTACCGCATCATCATCGCCATCGTCATTCCATCATACGGCACCGGTATATACACAAACCAGCAGAAATTCAAGAAGAGGAAGAAAAAGGAAAGCCTATCATAGCAGGAGAGGAGGGATGGAAAAGGCAATGGGAAGCTTCGGACGTGTCCTACGGCTTCCCGGATTCAGGCATTGGACCGGCGGGATAACATTTGCGAGAGGGGTCGAAACCTCATCATCATCATCTGGCCTTCTCCTCCTTCATACGGCACGGCACTCCTGCTGTGATATCGGGAGCTTTCTCCTGCCTGCTCGATCTGGCGTGCACGCTGGGTGTGAAGACCACACTCCCCCACCCAAAAGAAGGTTCGCCGGGCAAAATGGAAAAAAGAAAAGAAATTGCCCGCCACGTCTACGCCCTTGCCCACGCCTCACGGTGTGAATTGGACCCGCCAAGAGCAGAAATAACAACACAAGATCAAACCAAGAAAGCAAATAGGACTAAAGAATGGAATAAGAAATGATAAAAATAATAAAACAACCACGATGGGGTGATTGTCATCAGAACGGACCACCCCCCGTCAGATGTGCGGGAGGAGGCCATGAGAATCTGAAAGAGTGCAAAGAAAGAAATAAAGAATGAATTAATGAAAGGGTGAAAGGAATGAAGCAAGACAATGAACGTGAACGGATAACTATACTGTACTTGGCTGGTTCAGTACCTCCGCCGCCTCAGTCCCCTCGGCAGAGCACAGAAGAAGGCATCATCGATGGAAGGCAGGAAGGCGGGAAGGAAAAAGGATCCTGATGCAATGCAAATTACTCTGTCCGTACTAGAGTACAGTATGTAATGTATGATACTGCATGTACGAATAATGCTTACACTTGCCAATGGTCGAATAGGATAGAGCACTCGAATGGGTTGATTATCACAGGTCCGTTCTCCTCGTGGCTCGGGTGTACGCGCTCGCAAGGAACTATACCGTACCTGTACTGTACTGTACACCGATTGATGGTCCATGTTTGACGATATCCATACGGCCTCCTTCCTTCCTTCCTCGCTCGCAAGGCAACGGTAACAATGCCGTATGATGTGTACTCTCACTTTTTTTTTTTTTACTTCTTCTCCCTCCCCTTTCCTTTTTCTCTCATTCTCATTCTTTTCCTGTCTTGTCGTGTCATCCCATGCTCCGCGCCTTGTGCTCCCTCTTGTTCCTTCCCTTTCTTTCATTCTTTCCTTCTTTATATCTCCGGGTGATGTAGCACAGCAACGCAAGGTCTTCGGGGAACCGACCACCGCGATATCACCGAAGAGCCGTGCGACGTGCGTGGCTGAATGAGTGGAAGGAGGAAGCAAGCAACAGAAAAAGAAAAGAAAACAAAAGAAAAAGGGTTGTATCAGAATGTGTGCTGAAAGTGGTCGTGCAGATGAATGAATGTGCCCTGCCTACCTACCATATGCTGTACGAGTACTGTACGAGTACCGTACTATACTTCTACAGGTACTAATGTGTGAGCATAAGTCTATCAAGCTTTGGCTAATCCATTAAAATTTACTGCGGGTGTAGCCGTGGTTTTTTTTTGGCTTTCTTTCCCTTTCTTTTCCGTGGCTATAATAGAGAGAAATCCCGTCCTTTCTGAGTGGCCGAGTGCCCATTGAGCCAACCGGAGTGTGTGTGTGGGGGGGGGGGGGGGGTTCGACGGATTTGAATTCGCCCTTGATATGTTACCCGGTACGCTACCCGTACGCTACTTCGCTCTCTTGGAAAAATACAGGTACCTGATACGGTACTGTACAGTACCATACCTAACATCATTCCTTTACACTGTGGTGCCATGCGGTCCGGCCAAACTGCATTGCACCGCGGTAATGTGCGGACGGAGGTAAGTTAGGTAGGTGGTGGTACTGTACCCTCTGTATGCATGTATGTATGTCTCTCTATGACACCGGTACCTTACCGGTACAGTACGAGTACAGTAGTTGTGCATTGAACTTGGACCCGTACAAGTATGATACTCGTATCAGAGTGGTACTGTACTGTACATATTTCGGTAACCCTTTTTTTTTCTTTTTCATCTTCTATTTCCATATGTGGTCAACTTACAGTACTCGTACAGGCATACCCTAACTCTCTCTTTCTCTCTCTCCCCGCGATCCGGAGCATATGTGCGGCATTCGAGCTGCGAGCTGCACATTTCTGTACGAGCACTTGTACAGTACTTGTACTGTACAGTGAACATCCCCCCCTTCCCGCTATGATTAAGTTAGACGCTCGTACGATACCGCAGATACTGTATGTACGAGTACTTGTAGCATATGTGTATGTCGCCCTCTGGTCCCGAAGCCGAAACCTGCAGTTGGTCGACTACTCTCGTACTAGTACTAGTACTGTACACAGTTGATGATGATTACAAGTCGCACCCATTCGGTAGACTACGCGTTGACAGCCTGGCAACTGCCATCTCCTCATTCAGTCTATCACGTTTCCCGAGAGTTCGGTCGGTGACTACCGGTATCTGTACCAGCCACCCCCAGCCCGATTTTTACATTTGCCGTCCATCTACCGTGCTCGTACCGTAACCAATCCATCGACCCACTTTTATACTAGTACTTGTACCGTACTCGTAAAGCTCTAGCTCGCCCTTTCTCGGCGGATCCATCTTGGCTACCGGTAGACTATTCCGCTCCCTTCTTGCTGCTCCGAAACAACAACCCTCTGTTTGGCTTACTGTAATTTTTGGCCCCTGCTCGGAGAATCCCGAGTTACAGGTACGGGTACGGGTACGAGGAAGGAGAGGCCGAGGAGGGGAATAAAATTTGGACGAGGAAAAGGGGAAGAGGAAAGGAATAAAATAAAATAAAATAAAATAATCCATCAATCAATCACAATTAATATCAATCAAAATCCATTCTCACGACCCCCGATTGCCGCGACATGAAAATCCCACACCACATATCGCCCGCTCCTCGCTCATTCCCCTTCCCTGCATTCGGAAGGCCTCCTTATCATTCCCGAACCATTATTCGAGACTGGGCCCTTAGAATACCGGCAGGACCCCTCCCGCTCCAACTCGGGGGGCATCGGTATCCCACCAACTTCAACAAAACGGCGGCTCTGATATAAAGCTATTCTACACCGCGGTTAAAATCCTCATGTTACACCATCGGTTCGGTTTCCCACAGGTATCAATCAACAAGAGAGCGATCACTTAGGAAAAAATAAATTAATAAAAAACAGGTAAGAAATCCGTCCAAATTTATTACTATGTAACGTAAAACGGCCAAACTACTGAAAGTTGAATCTCCCATAATCCCAAAACCTCCCACAAAAATCAATTCGACTACGAGTGGTAACCTTGTTTGTTACTCACCGTGGGCGACACAGTCCGTTGGTTTGGGAAAATTTCGGAAAAAGTAGCAATAAGGAAAGACGATAAAAAGTAGCGGATAACAATGGATGGAAAGCATGAAAAAAAAAAAAACTATACCATACTGAAGCGTGACCCCTGATTTTATGTGAGCAAAGTAAGCCAATCTATGAAACCCCAAGTGTTCTGTGTAAGAAATCTAGGCCTATCGGTAATTATTTATGTCGAGTAAAAGCACTAGAACCGGCTGCGTCCAAGAGGCGCACTGTTAGAAGAGGTGAAGCCTGCAGATAAGATCATTGTTAGGAATTGAACCTAGGGGTTTCAGCACAAAAGCTTACCTCCACCACCACCGCCACGGCCGCCGCGGCCGCGGGCTGATCCATAACGCCCCCCACCACCACCAAAACTAGATCTGGACATGTCGGCCAATTCTGGTGGAATCTGTTGTTTAGCTTCTCTCAAGACGGTGAGCAGGTCTCTGGCTTGCTTTGCATCGTTGGTGGTGAAAAAGGTGATGGCGGTTCCACGGGCTCTATAAAAGATCAACATCCTTGGAAAATAAGTAGAAATGATATCAAAACTCACCCTCCACGGCCAGTTCTGCCAATGCGGTGAACATAATCTTCAGAGTTATTTGGGTAGCTGTAGGGTCGCAATTAGTAAAGTTTCAATTTCGACCGACAAGAGAATATTAATACTCACTCAAAGTTAATAACGTGCGTGATGTTACGAACATCTTGCGACATACCAAGTTAGCATCACACCACTAGCGAAAAACACTTGGCCAAAAACTGAAACTTCCTGTGCAAGGCGGCATTATGCGTCTCACTCTCACAGCCTTCAATAACTTCATCATTGCATAAATCCAGGATCCTGTGCTGTTTGAACCTCGGGATGTGCAGCGCTGTAGCGAATAACCAGGCAACATTACCTCACATTACGAAAATGAGGCAATAGAAGGCCAATGGAAAAGGCCTGGAAACTGATATCGCTGCACCCCGAGATAAAGTTCTCATGGGAGAAAACCAACAGACACCGGAATAGAAGCAAGATATGGCAGCAAGTCCGGCGGAGTATCGAGAGAAGAGCATCTGTACGCTGACACACGAGGGGGAAATGGGGTTAAAGAAAAGGCGTGCAAATATCATACCAATGCCACGACTGGCCACGTCGGTAGCAACCATTATTGGGCTCTTGCCCGTTTTGAATTCATTAAGAACCCAATCACGTTCGGTCTGTTGTTTGTCACCGTGGATTGCAAGGCAGGGCCAACCATCTTGACGAAGGAACTATATGGTGGTTAGAATCACTAAAGGCGATTAAACGGTAACTTCATGGAACATACTCTCGTAATGTCATCAGCGGTACGTTTGGTACCTGTAAAGATCAGACATTTGCTATTCTTGTCATCCATTACTTTCTCAAGGTGCTTAATGAGTCTATAGAAGATGTCAGTGAGAAATCAACTCATAGAAAGGCGAGAATGATTTACCTATCGCGCTTGTCATAATCATTTATGACTTCCACTATCTGTTGAATGCTATGGTTGGCAGAGAGCTCTAGAGAACCAATGTTGACCTGAATAAAATCGTTCAAGAAATCGGATGCAAGCTGTCTAACTTCCTTGGGCCAGGTAGCGGACCACATGCAAGTTTGGCGATCAGGGCGAATTTGACCGAGAATCTTTCTGATTTGGGGCTAGGATTGAGTCAGTATTTTCATCCTCTGAATCACTACATGAATCATTATATATCCCACCTCAAACCCCATATCAAGCATGCGATCAGCCTCGTCGAGAACAAGGTAGGTAACACGGCGAAGGTTAGTTTTGCTAGTCTCCAACATGTCGATCAAACGACCAGGAGTAGCAATCAACACCTCAACACCGCGGGACAAGTCTCTAACTTGGGGGCCTTTAGGGACTCCTCCGTAAACACACGTGTTACGTATTCTAGAGGACTTCCCAAACTTAGCAACCTCTTGCTGAATTTGAACAGCTAATTCGCGAGTTGGCGCCAGGACAAGAACGATGGGGCCGTCTCCTGGTGCAAGAAGTGGTTGGGCGTTGATATGAACGATAGCGGGAAGACAATAGGTTAACGTCTTTCCAGAGCCTGTTTCGGCAATACCAACTACATCACGCCCAGAAAGTGCCATCGGCCAACCTTGAGATTGAATGGCCGTGGGTGCGGCAAATCCCTGAGCCTTAACTTCATTCATAACATAGCCTGTCGGACCAGACACATTAGTAACATTTTAGGTAAACGCGTATCTAAGGAATGCATAAGAGGCGTGAAACTTACTAGGGAACCCAGCCTCGTCAAAATCAACAACAGGCTTAGGAACATCGCGGCCCTGTACACGCATCTGTTTTTCATGACGGAACGCCTCGATATCTGCAGATGTACGACTTGCAACAGTCGGTGCTTCCTTATCTGTGGAATGTAAGTGGATGGAACATTCTCGTGATAAAGGAATCAAAAACTTACAAAAAGACTTCTCAAATTTGGGAAGGGTATTCATATCTATCTAGCGTTAATCCTCACAAATCTTCTGACATCGAGATTTAATGGAATATTACCCCACGACTGTGCTTTAAGACCTGCACCAAGGTTGCTCATACGATCACCACCCGCGCCACCCCCGTAGCCACCACTACCATAAGAGTTACCACCTCCGTAGCCACCGCGAGGTCCGCTATAATAAGGTTAGCGATAGTCTCTAAGAAAAATACACGTACCCGAAATGTTTGTCTTGTATCTAATCCTGTGACAAACATGTTCTTGATGGCAGAGATGGAGACGAACCCGTTAGAATATCCATTAGATCCGCCGCCGTATCCACCACCTCCTCCACCGCCGTAGCCGCCACCTCCACCATAACTGTTTCCGCTACCACGGTATGCATCGTAGGCCATGATAAAATTTTGAACTAAAACTAGAAGGAAGCGAGAGCGCGATTTAGGAAGAAAGGAAGGCCTAAGAGAGTGAGGGGCACCTTATTCAGTTGTCAAGACGGAAATCTTGAGAAGTGGGTAAGGGAAGAAGAGTGTTTAGAGAAGGTTGCTTTTGAGGGAGAAAGGGGTGGCGAGAAAGGTTGAGGAAGGGATGAGAGGAGGTCAGTGTGAGGTTGGGTTTGTAGCCGAAATTTTCTTTTGCCAAGAGAATAGAAGGCGGCAAACCCTAGCGTCTTAGCAGATGTATGACTAAGCGAAGGGTTATCTTGGTTCACTTGGTGGCAAAAGAAAGGAAGAAACCCGCAGGCAGAAATACGTCCTTTGTTGCCTTTGCTTATTTGTATGTGCCGCTCTTATGTGTTTCCCAATCTCCCTGCCCGAAATTGTTTGCTAACTGCACATGTGTTATTTTGATAACATCGAGATACAGTCATACCGTACATCAAAACTTCGCAAGTCATTCCCTGAGGCTGCTGCAGTCGAGGAGCTACTATTCCAGTGCTTTATGTTGGGTGACTTCCCAAGGGCATGAGGAGATGGCGGGATATCCCGTGAGCTTCTAGGATGAACATGGAAATAATAGGGATGGGCTCTGGTCCGTTTTATGAGACGTTAGTGGTGCGAAGGTCTGATTAAGAGTTCTGTGAGATGGGCGGGGACCGACCGGTGTCCCATAAGCTTGCCCCATGACTTGGTGAGCTTTGTGATTGTGCTTCCTAAGCCCCCGTCAATTTCCGCAGCTACAAGAGGGTGGCTGTATTTATACTCTACTGCGATTTTATCTAACACTCTGCCTTTTCTATGTTATTGCTTTACCCCTCCCCGTATCATTTCGGCCGGTACTCAACGATCGCTGGGCGACTTCTTCAAGGCTTCGGGGGTTTTGGGCGAGTTCCGAGTGCCGATTGGGATTTGTAGCGGTACAGAACTCGAGACAAATATGGACTTACATCTTTTACCACTCCCTCTTGACACAAGTTGGTGGTATTGGGTGGAAGTGAGTTCTGTCATAGGCTTTAATTTTTTGAGGGGCAAGAGGAACCTCGGTTTATGAGATCAGGCGGGGTTGGAGATGGAACCACTGCTACCGGTGCTGGAGGGTCTATCCTAGGATCGTTGGCACGCGAAGGAGAAGCCGACCTAAGTTCCTGGTCCCAACTCTACCGAATTCCGCGCCATTATATGTAACCTTGACATAATACTAAGCACCTCGAGCGATAGAGAGTCACTCGGTGGGGAAGTATTATGGAGCTTCTCCATTAGAGATTAATGATAAACCCCTAATGTGGTAATAGCGGTAGCTGTTATATAGGCAATCACAATTCTCCCAACAATGCGACAACTCAACGAAGGGGAAGATCGGGCGTCACATACATGGTTTCTACCTCTTCTGGTAAGGGAGGAGCTTTCTAAAAGATCGTGTGAAAGCCCTTGGGCCATGAGCTCTCACTTTGTACGTCTTCAGGGACCTGGACTAATAGGACTGCAAGAGTTGCTGACTTGTGTGGCGTAGAGAAATAGGTGGGCAAACGGCCTAACACCTCTAATGTCGCGACAGACACTCTTCAAATGGTCGTTGGCCAGGTCACAGCCAAGTTTAATGGCCTTTCCCTCCTTCGCTAGGTTTTCGCACTGAAATCTCTGTCGGCATGTACTAGAGATGTGCGGAACCCGGGAGCAGCTGAAGGGTTTGGAAAAGGCCTACTGTGAAACGCAGATGGGTAGCTCAGGGTATCTATGATCACTGTGGGTCGCTGAGTCAAGAGTATTCGTCCACGTACGCCGCTAGGGTCTCTAGGGACCCTGCAAAGCGCAATCTAGTGATCGTGGACCTCCGAGGTAGAAGAATTTCAGCGGGAGACCTGGATAGCGATGGATGTTCCTTCCGTGGCCAGCCTCCTCGGGATGCGCCTGCCCTCAGAGCATCAAGTGTCTCTGTTGAGTGCTGCGTTCCTGCCCAACTATCTTTGATGGTGGGGAGTGTACCGGTGGTTCGGACTAAGGAGTGAGTGGTACTCTCTGTATTCCCCTTCTCTGGAGGATCGTATTTGTGTGCTTGTGGTAGCCGCGGTCGATGGGCATTGCTGTTAGTGGGAGGGGCGAGAGGCAGAGGCTTCCTTTATATAAGCGCGCTGGGACAAGGAAAAGGCATCATAATAATAATTATTATCATAATATTATGATAGGATGGGCAAATTCCAAGGAGAGGAAATAGGGTTTGGAGTCAAGTTGGAGACTCAGTGCCAAACCCACTGGTTTTCACATGGGTTCGCCCGATGGCGAAATCATATAGTATCACTCGTGGAGTAATGCCTTTGCGTTGTGAAATTTACATTAGCATGTGCGGAAGACCGTGATGCTGGCAAATGTAAACCTGGAGGCGAAATAGAGTTAGGGGTTGCGGAGGCTAATTTTCGGATAGTCCTCATTCATACCATATTCAACGAGTGATGGGACCGGGAATGAGACTCTTAGTCTATAATGGACTGTGCGGTACACCACATCGTAGCGTTTATATTCGGGGGCTTCCCCATTCTCTATTATTTATGTATTATACTCCTCGTATTTCTTCCTATCTCGTTTGCTATCAATCGAGTCACTTTTCTGCTGTGCCCGTCACCCCACAACCCTATGCCGTGCATTATGACTACAGAATTTATGCACAAGGGTCCGAAAAAAACAAAAGAGGGGCGGCGGGAGGAGGCACTATGTGGAAGTGGTAATGGCACTCAACCTTGCGTGAAGGCGATATTACCATGTATAGCGTAAATAGGGATATTGGTGGAACACCTGTGCTGATATTTTTGAGAAAATCTTCGCAATATAGAAAAATGGTAATAGGGGGTACTTGGTCGGTTAGCCCTCCATCAAGTGCCCGCCTCCATTTCTCTCCATCTCCCCGCCCCCGCCCAGTCTCCCCCGCCATCTCAAAATCCTGCCTTGTCGTAATTGCCTGCTTTCTTCTCCTTTCCTTCCGGAGTAACCCCGTAGTAGAAACTAGATGAATATCATTATTATTATTTTGGCCAAGAGAAATTGTGCGTGGCGAGAATGCACATGTCTATCACATATATGTGCAAACATCGTGCGCATCTTCACCTGTTGTCCAGTCAGAATTGTTAGTTTCTGTTGCGATTTATAACCTAGAGTTTCTCGTGTGAGTGGAGTGCTATTTCTGCTATTGTGAGATAAGCCGATACAACTTGGAATTTCCATCATATTTACTTTCATAGTTACTTCCGGTTGTAAATCGCCTTTGCGCATTTGTTGTTCCGTTATATTTTACTAATTTCTTTCTCCCCTCTTACGTATACACCGAGGATTGTTTTGACATGGAAGGGGAAATATGAGGCACAAGTATTTCCGAAACTCGTGACACCTATAAACTACTACCCTCTGGGTGTGAGCTTAAATGGGGGCTCTCCACACTTTCTTTGAATATGCTCATCAGGAGAAATTACCATAATATACTAATATAACTCCTGAAGGTGAAATTAACCAATTCCCATTTTATAGGCACCATCCGATGTCTTACCCAGATTTGCGAGGTTCTCAAATTCCCAGTTGCTCTGCAATACAAACTTACAAGTGGGTTCGGAGGGATATTCCACCATCCCTAGCCCCACTTTGCCCACGACAGTGCAGTCTCGGGCCTCCTCCCGACCAGCTGGAAAACCCTTGCTATTTCCTGAAATTAGTGCCTAGATAACACAGTGCCGTATTATAGTTCTAAGGTACAATATCGGAAACCAATATCTAGTGCTGTAAGGTTTCAGTCAGGCTATGTCGTCAGAGTTCATTGTCATAGGAGTTAATTTTGCAGAAAGTGCCGATAAATCAAGTCTTTATATGGTAATGAGCAGGTTTTGGCTCGCTGACCTGTGGATAAGCAATGGTTGGACAAAAGATAGAAAGGAGGGTTTGGTAGCAAGTGAGGAGGATTGTGTACAGGGGGTTGTGACAGAGTAGAAGGTATGTTGGGTCCAAGATATCCTTATCTACAGTGTAAGGGATTGTGTGTTTAGAGTGCTGGATTGGGTTTCCTTCTTGTTCGTATGCCAATTGCATGCCCTCCTGCCCCATATATCTCTACTGAGATCTAAATTGTTTTTTTTTATACCGGTTGAGCTAACTGCCCCTGGTAGGTTTACTGTGAACTACTGTGATATATAGTATCATATCATGTCATACGCTATAATAGATGAATTTACCATTCGAACACAAACTCAGACGAGTGACGGTCTGTGCCGGCGCCATAAAACAACTACGGAATTAGTGGTAATAATTGAGTTACGTGCTTGGAGGTACTAGTCGTAGCTCCATAGTGTAGTACAGTATTTACAACCGTCCCGGGCGTCCCGGGCAGGGTGGGTAAGGACGGCAGGGCATGACGTCTGTCTTTGATAGAGACCACCGTACGAGAGGTTGACACCCGGGCCCTGGAGTCTTAATACAAATGGCATCTTCCGGTCGTCCTCACTAGGCCTGGCCATCATCGGTAGGGCCCGGCTCTCATCCGTAGGGCAATTTTGCAGGTGAGGCACCTATAGGGTCCGGCCGGCCGTCCCAGGTAGAGGCTAGGACGGAGAACAGGACGGGCGTCCGTCCACGCCAGAGTTGCTCAGTGGAGGTGTGCTCTGTTATCTGGGTTGGTTGGTTTAGTGTAACCTAAATCTTCGATTCTGAATTATTCTAGGCTCTGACAGAAGGCTATTCATCAACATATCCAACGACTCTTTGAGTTGCTTCGCAGGTTGCATGCCTAATGGTGATCATATCTGACGAACCTACCCCCAGATCGATAGAAACACAGGGTAGGTTACGGTAAGTGTATTGTAGTAGCGGTCCCGATGAATATCGGAAAGTATGGCCTTTATATTCACGGGACCTGGCACAAGGCTCAGGGAAGAGCCTTTCAGCTTGTATCGGTATGGCGGCGGCTGCAGTGTGCTGCAGTGCTTTAAGTTAGGTGATATGGAAGCTTTTTCGCCTGATTCGTTCATAAGGCTTAATCGATTTGTCTACAAATTTATATACCAAGCTATTATAGCCTATTCCACCGCGGGCGCTCTCAAGTCTTCGTCCATCGTGGTGGGAGATTTGTGCTGTACGTACGGTACAGTGCAGTGCTGCGGGATAGTACTTAAAAAGGCATGGCATTTCCTGCTATCAATGCAGTAGGCACAGACTAAGTGCCGTTGGAACAAATTTGGGGGAGATGGATGGACGATCCTGAGAAACTGAGAAGGTTTCACAGAAAACCCCGCTTCTCCATAGCATTCAGGAACACCAGCAATCAACCGACTCCGTCATACATCATCTACGGTATCAGTAGTAGCAAAAGCAGGGAATGTCACAACAATTCAGCCAAAATATCAACTCTCGGAATGCTATTATGAATAACTTTACAGTTACCAATGACCGATATAATACCCCAGCATGGTTATCCCCGCTAGATCCTAGGTTACGCCGCCGGGCCTAAAATGTGGGAGAATGGCTCCCACAGACCGAGGAATTTAGAAGCTGGTTGCCGGTGGCGAGGGAGGTGAGTCTGATATTGCAGTATTGTTTTGTTCTGGGGAATCGGGGGTTGGAAAAACTTTATTAGGTAACAAGGACCAAACTCAAGGGATGGAAGAGCAAGGGCAAGTGCTGACAAACAGCGATGTTAGCTCACTGATGATAGATAGGTTGTGTGATCAGGTTGGAGAGCAGGATACCTTCGTTGCATGTTTTTATTTTGACTCCGCCGCCCAAAAGGAGCGGTCCCCCAGCGGAGTGCTGGCAGTCTGCTGAAACAGCTGGTTCGCGAACCGGAGGAGAACGCCGGAGGAGACATCACGAGCATACTAACACCAAAAATGGCAATTGGTGGGTGGGTGGCGCAACTCTCCGAGACTGTGAAGTTAATGCAGACTACCTCTTCCAAAGAACGTACATTCAGATACATCGGTGTTCTCGATTCTCTAAATAAAATCCTGCGGAATTCCCCGGTCACACGAATATTCGTGGCCAGAAGGCCGCGCATTCGACCAGAGATCGAGAGCCGTCTTTCCGGGAGAGTAAAAAGAGTACCCATAGGTCCCAAGAGAGGTAATATTATTAAATATATTCATACCAGGCAGGATGAGGACACAGCCCCAGATTCAATGGGTAGTAATCTGGAGTCAGAAATCTTGAAGAAAATTCCTGAAAATATTCCCGAAAAGGACGCAAAGGCACCAAGACCGAGGGAGCTACCTTGAGTTATCTGCTGGTATATGCATATCTAGATTCCTACTAGTATCGCTAGATATCAATGCAATCCTGCAAGAAACTATAGTCCGCCGAAGGCAACAAAAGCTCAGTACGATAACTAATGGCTTAGAATTAGGCGATGCCTATGATGCAACCCTGGAACAGAACTGATAAAGTGATAGAGTGGGGAGAAATCGAAGCTCGGTATGGCGCCTTTGATGTGGATTTCTCGCTCGGAGGGGCCCTTGGAGGCCGATGAACTCTGCCACGCCCTGGGTGGTCGAAAAACGGTCACCGAATCTCAGTACCGACAATGTTGCTCCAATCGGGACATTGCTAGCCTGTTTTCAAGAGCTTGCTGCATTAGATAATGCGACTTCCATTAATACCCGCCTAATCTAGCTTACCGTTCAAGAGTACTTGCGAGCTCATCCTGAGCTTTTTGGTGCAACCCACTCGGCAATGACAGAAACCTGCTTAAGCCATCCGAATCCCCACCAGGTCAAGGTTCTTTGGGAAAGTACGTCCCCTGACCTCAAGGGCACACCCTTTCTGGAATATTCTTCCTTGAGCTAGGGAGACCACACAAAAAGGGACCTCTTGGGTTGCGCGAATTTGCTTGAGCTGAAGCTGTTTGACGACCACAGTAGCTTTATATTTGATAAAACCCTCTTGAAAAGCAGAAGAATGGAGTTTGTATAGGGGTGCTAGTGGCTTCAATGAAATTCCTTATTCGGTAGTCTACAATGTGCATCCTTCGGAGTTATTGAGATTGTAGCCAGATTGGTAGAGGAGAATTGTTGCGATATCAACCGGAGGGATTGTGTGGGTACCGTACGGTAATACACCACTTATGTGGACCGCTCGGAATGGGGACGAGTGAGTAGTGGATACTCGTATACTACTCAGCCCGGGCGGCATCAACCGCAACAAAGCGGATAATGCTGGAAAAACACGGTTCTTGTCTGCTACGTAGGTTGCGAGTGAGTGGCGAGAATGCTATGATTCTCGAGCGGGACGACATCGAACCCTACAGACCAACTTAGGTACAGATCGCCGAACACCATTTTGGTGGGCGCTTCGAGCGGGACGATGTTAGTCTAACCCCGAAAAACCAGACAACAATGACCAAACACCACCTCGGTGAGCTGCCGGGACTGGGGACGAGTGGGTGGCGAAAATGCTATTATACTCGGACGGGGCGAACCCCGACAAACCGGGTTGGGCCGACCGAACAGCACTCTTTTGTGTTGCAAGGAATGGGCATGAGGCAGTGGTGAAAATGCTATCATACCTGAACGGGACGACGTTAACCCCGAAAAAAAGGGACATATTCGACCATACACCGCTGGAGCGCGCTTCCGTGAATCGCCATGCGGGCGTGATAGCGCTGCTAAGGCCCCCACAACCCGGCGCCCTCCCGCCCTCCCTCCCTAGTGGCTAATCGTGTGAGAACCGTGTTGGGATTTTTCTTTTCTTTTCTTTTCTACTTGTGAACTTGAATTGTGTCCAAGCACCGAAACTGCTTGCTTCTCCGTCCTCTAAATAGTTTTTTTTTTCCCCTTCTCTATGCTGGCGGGGCTGGTGACGTCTGGTAGGTTCGTGGTGAGCTATAATATTTTGTTGTATCGTGCTGTACGCTATAATATGTAACACCGTTCAAAGGCTAATACCATGCGAGTGATTATACATGATGGTGAAAGAATGAGGTGGATCGAGCCTGTTGGTGGTGCAAGTTAAGATATCTCCGGCCCAAGGCCAAGCTCATCTGGAACTCGCTCGTGTTAGGTGCTATGTGTGGGTTTGCGGTGAGGGCGGCTGTCTCCCTCTCCCATATGTGACACAAACTGTCGTGACACTGTTCATTCTATTCTATATTGGTGGAGGTGGGTGCTACGGATTATTTGAGGTTAAAAATAATAGACGAAACTGGCATTTTTTTTAACTCCTTCTTTCTCCTTTCTTTCTAATTCCATGGGGCATTAAAGGTAAACTAACATGTATATAACCTTTCTACACCCCAATATGAGCAATGGAGGTTGCGTTCCAGGAATAAATAATTCAAGGCTTTTCCTTTAGAGATTGATCGTAAAAATAATTAGTACCAACAGGAACCATAACTGATAACAATTTAGATACAGTTCTCTGGAAGAGGATGGAAAAAACAAAAACAAAAAAACCCTCAAGTATGAGGATTACTTAGATAGATCCTGATTCTCTTGGCTAGGGAGGCATATTTGGAACGACTACTATGGGAGAGAGCCCTTAGGCTATAAGCTATCTACTATATATTACAGATAGGGAACTCGAAATATCAATGATATGCGGATCAATAGCAGTTCTACACTTATATGTACTACTAAAGTCTATAGAAACTCATTAGAATGTATTTCAACAATCAAGGAACTCCCTAGAGAGAGAAGGATTTCAGCCAGAGACCGAGATAGAATTGGATCCCGGTCGGTTAGCCCCTTCAGGAGCCAAGACGTACTTACCCTTAAGGTGGTGAATAGTAACCCAGACACTAGAATACCGGGTTCCTGTCCTATGATCTTAGATGGTGGAAAGTACATCATTGACTGAAACTAGAACCCACACCCCCCCCCCCATATGCCCCTTAAGTATAAATAATGCCATCATATAAGATCAACCTCTTAGAAGGGCGCTAGTAGTATCAACCACCATCCAGCTGGTTATATTACTGGGGACTATTAGATCTGATTGATTTGGCGACCCCGCATGGAGGAAGTCAGATCATATATCTGCTGTGATTTATCTCATTATCAATAGATCCTCAAGAATAAGAGACCACGGCGTATTTATTGGCCAAAGAATTGCCAGGAAAAAGAGCCGCAGCAGAAGGACGAGAGAGCCACATATCTTCATAGGTCGGCCCCCCCCCCCAATATTCATCTACCCTCAGGCCATTGAGTGGTGATAGTGGCTTGGATTCAGAGTGCCGCGGCTTGACCCAATTATATCCGACAGAGGGTACATTTTTTGTCTGCGAAGCTAGGATGTATGATAGCCTTTTATGTATACTACTGACTCCCTTGTAGAGACACTTATTGCAGGACCAACGCCTAGGGGCTGTACTGTACTCATCAGATTTACAGTCCCGCCGGTCACCTTTTGTGGGTCTTCGCGTTTTAAAATAGCGTGGTGATTCCGTCTTGGGATTCTGGATTGCCGCTCGAAAGGCACATACCGTAGTCCGGTACTGGATTCTCTATAAAGGTGAGTCGGGCACTCTAACATTAGTTAAGTTAGCCATCATTTGCCTTGTCGGGGAAATAGGGACTAGTAGAGCACAAACGCATCATCTGTCGGGCCATGGATCTCACCTGAAAGCAAGCCCGCTGCGAGAATCTGCGCTCGTGGAGCTATTCGCAAAGCATCCGAATAAAGAGAGAACTACAAAAAAATCGTAGAGAAATCCATCCACGTTTGTGGTTGGGGAAGGAGATGGTTGTTGGAAAGAGGTGGAGAAAGATGGAAGAAGGGTCCTTTGTATAGGCGGACCAGGCCGGCCCCTCCACACCCTACGGAGAGGAAATAAGGCTCGGGATCAAGCGAGTATTTGAGGATGTAGGGCTAAAAACCAGCGCTACCGTCTTGTATCATAGATTGAGTTGGACCGATGGCGAAGTCATGTGGTATCTCTCGAAAAAGACGGGGTTTGATGATGGAGCTTATATTCATTAGGCACACAATGATGCTCAAAATTACCGTAAATATGAACAGGGAAGGAGGGTTTGGCGCAGCAGGGAGAAAGGTGTCTGATCGTGACTATAGATGAATTGTGCGCCCAGCGCTGCAAGCGAGATACAAGATGGGTTCTCAAACCCCGCGCTGCGTGGTATAACGCAGATTCTTCTCTAACATTCACCTCACCTCTACCCCCCTTTTATACGTGGCACCAATCACCTCCTTAAGTACCTGGACGAAGTCCCACACCTCTTCAAAGGTATTATAAAGGGGTAATGGGGCAACTCTGATAACGTCCGGTTTCCTTTCATCAACAATAACCCCGCGCTCCTGCAGGCCATCAAACACCTGCGTCATAAGCCCTTCTCTAAAAAGTAGTGACAGTTGTGCCCCACGCGCTGCCGGATTTTGTGGGGTGATGATTTCGAAAGGTTTTGAGTCGTAGGATTCGAACTGGGAGCGGAGGAGGTAGTCGAGGTAGCCGGTCATACGGACGGATTTTGTCCTCACGGCAGCCATCGAGGCACTTGAGTAGAGGGATAGGGAAGAAAGGAGGGCGGTTAGGTCGAGGATTGAGGGGTTAGACATTTGGTAGCCTGCTGCGCCAGACATGGGGCGGAAAACTGGTTGATTATTAGTAATATCCCGGGGGGAGTAGAGGGAGAAGAATAAACCTGTATCCATTGTGAACCGCGAAGCCTTGTCATGGCCCCACCAACCGGCAAGTCGGTGTTTTTCGGGCGATGCATGTTTCTCGTGCACAAAAATTCCGCCAATACCGCCGGGCCCACCCGATAGGTATTTGTAGGTGCACCATGCGGCCTATGATCGTTAGAACGGGGAGAACAGATAGCCACTCGGAAAAGCCCTGGTGAAGCGGAGTTTCCCCTAGATAGAGGCTAAGGCGGCCCAATGGGGAGTTATTGCGCAATTGGGATCTGCGTGGGGGAGGGCCAGTCCCACGGGGAAAGAGAAATTCCGTTTCATGAAGGCATCTGCCAAGTGGCTGAATATATCCAAGGTGGGGGGCAACTCACAAAGTCAGCACCCCATTCGTGAAGCTCCAGTAAAATATTCCCAACAGCATGTGCCAAATCCCAGCCCACAAGAATGCCCTTGTTCTGAGCATATCTAGTGATAGCTTTAAGGTCGAATGCTTGCCCAGTATAATAATGAACACCGGAAAGCCAAAGAACAGCAGTAGTCGAAGCATTCTCATCGATTACACGACATATCCGGTCGGTGGTCAAAACCTTCCTATCCCCCTCTGGAAATATCGTGACAAGAGCGTCCCTTGGATTCAGCCCGTGCCATTCGATCTGCGACTCAACGGCGTACTGTCCTGCATTAGCTGACGGATGCAAAACCTGGTGGAAAGGAGAATGGTATCTTACATGATCACTCGGAAAGGCCTTGCCTTCAATGATAATCTTGTATCGGCCTTCCTTCGTGACGTCCGGCTTGTAAAAGCTCGCGAGCAGGGTATGAACGTTTGCTGTCAAGGTTCCCATAGTGGACACCTCCTCCGGGAGAGCACCGACGACATTCGCCATGTGCATGTTGACCTCCACCTCGGCAGAGGCCCAGGGCCGGGAAAGTGGGTGGTCGAAATGTCCCTGGACACCACGAGTAGCCCAAATTCTAAGCTCGTCCGCGATCAGTGCCTGCGTATTCTTTGGCTGGAGGCCCAAAGAGTTTCCACAAAAGTAGATGCATGGGTCCGAGGGATCTGCAGCTGGTTAGTATGTGCTCCCCCCCGAAAGAGTTGTTGCTCCTACCATTGCATTGGTCCGCAGGCTTTGTTTCGGGGTGAGGATCCTTGAGGTCCGCTTTGGAGGGAATAAGGAACTCCTTTCGAAAGCCGGCCAGAGGGTCACCCGCATCCAGATGGCGAGCGAACTCTCTGGTGCTGGACCTAGAGTCGTCAAAGGTGATTCTCTTGCCGTGAATGAATTGGTGTAGCTGGGCGGAATCCATGTTTGCAGAGGCGAAACCGGGGATGTAAAAGGGTACGAATTGAGCTCCTCGGTTTGCCACCGGAGTTTGTATCAAGTCAAACTCGTCGATTCGGTGCACAGTACTGTGTGAGGGGTTGAAGACTTGCAGCGACGGGTGAGGGGGGGGCGAGAAAGCCAGGAGGCTCCGGTCCTTTTAGGCTTGTTCAGGGCCGGGACCTTCAGGAGTAAAGAAGCTTGCCAACCCTGATAATGGCCCAGCGGGGGAGGAAGGGGGAGGGGCGAGAGGGGAAAAAAGGAAAAGGTATCGTATGATAATATGGAGGAGTTACCGGTACATACGACACCGTACTCGTAGTGTGACAAAGAAAGGGCGAGCCCAGGCATAGTTTAATAGCTCTCCTGACATCAGGAGGTTTTAGGGTACAAGGCATACAATGCCGGTAGAGCCCCTCCATCCCCTCCAATCCCGCATCTGGCCGTGTATGTACAAAGTACCAGTAGCCCGTTCCTCCTGGCACCTGCCGGAACAGGAATGACAAGTGCGCAGTGCCGTGGGAGCCTCATCACAGTATCATATTATTGTATCATACTCGGGCGGGGGGGTACCAATCGGGCGGTGTTGGACTACCGTACTGTACTCGAGTAGTCTACTCTACTCGTAGACCCCAAGCTGGACGGCAAGCACCATGACCTTATGGTAGTCTACTGGTAACTCATGGCTCAACTCGAGTGCATTCCCGCTCCCCCAATCAGATTACTGCGGGATATATGCATGGTATTGTACAATACTGTACTCGAGTACCCTTATCAGATCCATCGATGTGCAACAGCACTCAAGCATAACCATCTCGTTGCTTCCAATGCCACCACACACACACACATTCATTGGATCGAAAATCGAAGGCCCTACATCCCGGTAACCTCTCATCCATTCCCGTCAGAAGGTCGTTCATTATCTTTACTCGTGCGGTACCGTACAAACCTTCCTTTCCTCTTCTAAAGATACCCCACCGCCTGTTACCGGCAGCTATGAACGCTGGTTTACGAATAGCTTCAAGCTTTACCGCCGCACGGCCATGCCTTTCGGTCGCCCCAGGAGTCCTCCCTCGAATTACCGTTGCTGTAGCCGGAACCATCTTCCCGGCTGTCCGTGTCGGAAATGTGTGCACTGCGAGACTGTCTGCTTCAGCGTCTGCCCGTGCGGCAATCGTCAAGAATCCACGCACCGACCAATCTGGGTCTTTGATGAAAATCGACATATCTCAGCGTGCGGTGAAAGTATGCATTCCATCGTGACCACCTTCCCGTGAAGCCACTGTGTTGACATCCACAGCGTCTCAAGGAGATACAATCTAAGGATTCCAACCCCGACCTCGCTCTGCGGATAACTGTGGAATCCGGGGGATGCCATGGTTTCAAGTACACCATCTCGTTGTCGGATACATTTGACGAGGATGAGGATACGTCGGTCGTCCCTTCCCCACCTAGAGCTACCGTATTTGGACAATGTAACGCTAATCCGAGATTCAGTGTATTCGAGGAGGACGGTGCAAAAGTCGTCATGGACGAACCCTCGCTGGGTCTTCTAAGGGACAGCACTGTCGACTACACCGCCGAGCTTATCGGCAGTCAATTCAAGATCGTCGATAACCCTCACGCAACTAGCTCTTGTGGTTGCGGAACCAGCTTTGACACCAAATCCTTATAAAACCCAATCGTGTTGGGATCGGGAATGGTATTCACGGTACCGGTAGTCCAGCGGTAGCAGTACGGTAATGATAATCCTGGAGGAGTTTGTTCGCGGTTTCTGTTTATCTTTTCCTTTAATTTCCGTTTATCCCTATTTTCACTTCTCACTTTTACCCTCCCCTTTTTGTTTCAAAGCTACTGTTCCATATACCGAGGGTCTGGCGTTGGGTCTCCTGTTCTTATCTGCACTTATCGATAGATGACTGGACAATTTCTTGGCGCCCCATCGCGGCTTAAAAAGGTTCTTGTCAAAATTGAGAATAAAAAAATAGCCCCACCTCACCTCTCATTCCAGCTCCACTTGACCCGCCCCACCATTTCATCTAAACACCACCACTACTCCACAACAATTACCTGAAAAATGTTGACAGATGACCAAGCCCCAATTGACGCCCTCGTCATAGACGCCGGTCCTCTCATCAGAAACGATTTCACAGCCAGCATCCTCAACAGAGTGGGGAAATTATATTCTACACCCGCCGTCATTGCCGAAATTCGGGATGCCGCTACAAGGTCCCGTTTAGAGACTACGTGGCTTCCCCTACTCACTCTGCGCGCTCCAAAACCAGGGAGCGTTAAAATTGTCGGCGACTTTTCGAAGAAGACCGGAGACTTTCCGGTCCTTTCTGTGACGGATTTACAGCTGCTCGCTCTGACTTACGAGCTAGAAGTAGAGCTGAACGGAGGCGATTGGAGATTGAAAAGTGTACCTGGGCAGAAGAAGATTAACGGGCCTGTTCCCAAGGCTGTGAAGGATAGCGGGGAGGGGAAGGTGATGGAGGGATTGGTCAGAGATGGCGGGAAGGCTGAGGGCGGCGGTGATGCAAAGACTGCTGATGCAGAAGAGACATCGGCTGCTTCGGCTGGCGCCCTGTCCCAGAAGTTTTGCAATACCCATATCTCTACCGACAACCCCACACCAACAGTAACGGGATCCATGGAACAAGCTTCACCCTCACCCTCAGAACCAACTGCAAACGAAGACCCCGACCCCCCATTCTCCACCCCTACCTCCTCCGAAGATTCCGACTCCGACTCCGAAGGCTGGATAACCCCCTCGAACCTTCACAAACACCAATCCAAATCTACCACCTCCACCCCCTCAACCAACCCCACTAAAAACCCCTGGCCCATCCGCGCCGCTCTCGCAACTACAGACTTCGCCCTCCAATCCGTAACCCTACAAATGAACCTCCACCTCCTCTCCACAAAAACCCTGCAGCGCATCCACACCATCCGCTCACACATCCTCCGCTGCCACGCCTGCTTTAAGCTGACGCGCGATATGGCAAAACAGTTCTGTCCAGTGTGCGGCGGGCCGACTCTGCAGCGCGTGTCCTGCTCCGCCGATTCGAAGGGTGCATTCAATATCCACCTAAAGCGCAACTACCAATGGAATAATCGTGGGAACGTGTTCTCGCTGCCGAAGCCCACGCATGGGAGTGCCAGCGGGAAGGGCGATAGGGAGGTGCTCATTCTCCGGGAGGACCAGAAGGAGTATGAGAGGGAAGTAGTTAGGGTGGGGAGGAGGAAGGAGAGGGATTTGTTGGATCCGGATTACTTGCCCGGGATATTGACGGGCGAGAGGAGGGATGCCGGGGGACGGCCCAGGATTGGGTATGGTAAGAGGAATCCCAATGTTGCGAGGAAGGGGGGGAAGAAGAAGTGATCGTCTCTCTCTCTCTCTCTATCTATTCCTCCCTCCCTCTGTTCTGTCTTT